TTCTTGGAGGTTCAGTACAAAGTGTTTTTTACTGGAAAAGAAGCTTGTTTTGTGCTGGAGCAGAACAACCCTTAGGCACAGCTATACATATCTTCAAAAACATGAATGACTCTATTATTTATTGATCAGGTATTAATAAGGATGACATTTAAAAATAACACTGATCAGGAGAATGAATACTGAATATGCAAAAATTATCATATCAAAATTATATATGTGATATATAATATATAGATAAATGTGAAACCTAACAATGTGACCTAAATATGAAGGTCTGTTGAGCGTGTGTAATATAATATAGCTCACTGTCTTATTTTATTATGCAACAAGCACACCTAGATATGTGGATAGTCACGGGTACTATTAAAATGAAAACATAAAATGATATACACAATATGGACAAAAGTATTGGGACACACCTCTTAAAGTCATTCTGAAGAGCTCAGTGTATTCAAGCATAGTACTATGATAGGATGCTATCTTTCCAGTAAGTCAGAAAGTGACATTTCATCCCTGCTCAATATTTAGCATAGTTTTTATGATAAATTTGAAAGCAATTGAATTCTATGGCAAATCTTCATCAATATAAGTTTAAGTGTGTATGTTAGCATTCCCAACCAGTGAATTTCAATTAATTTTACAGTTGTTTGTAATTACTGGATAGCCAACTTTTAAAAAGTATTTACTGATTTTTATCAGTTCATTAAGAAGAACCAACTGAAAACATCTGACTAAAAAGAACAAATTGCACACAAATAAGACTCAATTCAAGAGCAATATATAGATCAGGAAAAATAAATAAAGTATATTCATTACGGAAATTGACTTAAGATGTTGAAGTTCTCATAAAATAAAGTTTTGCTGCTTTTAGTATGAATATCTTAGCCTTAAGGATATCTCTAAGCAAGTGTTACAGTGTAAATATTCTTTCCTTTGGGGCGAATAAAGTCTGGTTTCGTGTCAGTGTCACACAAACCTCCGCAGTGTACACTGTGTGCTTAAGTCCAGAGACAGGATCGCACAGAGCGGATCATATACACAAGGCGGCATAGACCACAACATGTATCTGACCCATTTGAATTCTACAAAGAATGCTGAATTTTAAAGCTCTATGGAGGACAGCAAACATTGTGAATTGTTAGGTGTCAGCATTATAAATAACAAAGACAAGAAGAAGAGTTCACACCAGTGCCGTGCACCAGCAAAAATTACAAGCTTTTCAAACTACACATACTAACAATTACTAAATATTATCACAGGCTTTTTTTTCTGTAGTAGCAGTTTGACATTAAATCTAAAGGGAGAATCTTTTAGACTTAATACAACTGTGGCTGTCACAAATTGTCAAATGCGGCTTTGCCAGGCTATAATAAACTAAACGCTGCTGGCTATTTAAAAAATGGGCGATGCCCAGACATCTTGTTTCATTTAGAAATACATCAAAGCATCAAGGAAAAACTGCACTCAATGATCAATTTTCCACAACTTTTCTAGGCCTGAGAAACACCAGTTTTAAACTCCCTGATGTTTTCTGGTTTTTCCACAGCCAGGTGTGTGTACCTGGCTCTGCAGCTGACTCTGGCTCTCCTCCAGCTGTGCGATGCGTAACGTGCTCTCCTGCAACATGGTGTGCTGGTTCTGGATAGAGTGCTGCAGTAGTATGGAAAGCCATATGGGTCATAATTCGCACGCTTTCCACCGCCGTATCGATATTAAAACGCAGTTTTTAGCAGGTTCTCCTCACTGGAGCTCTGATAAGCCACACATTTCCTCTTCAGCTCTTCCTGCAGCTGTGACAGCTGATAAACATAAGCGATTCATTACCAACAGGAGTTACTTACTGTCATTCAAATAATGTTCCCCAGGCAGACAGGAAAAGGAAGTGCCTAGATCTAGTGACTGACCTCACTGTTCTTCAGCTCCAGTTGTCTATCATGATGTTTCTTCACCTCCTCCATCTGCTGGATGTAATGACTCAGCTCCTCTTTACAGGAGGACAGTTCGGTCTGCAGGTTCCTAACCTAAAAAGATCAATACAGAAATTACTACCGTGTCCTAACCAAGTCTGGTGCAATAAAACAATAAATCTCATGAGTTTTTGTCCTATAAAATCCTTCTCAACAGCTGCATATTAATCAAAGTATGTACTTATTGGCTGCTACTTTCTGCTTTGAGGACAGAATGATTACTTGACACTAGAAACAGGATTGGGCAACCCTGCTCTACAATAAGGTCCCATTAGTTAACATTCCTTAATGAATAAGTTAACAATGAGTAATACATTTGTAACAGTATTTATTTAACATTAGTTAATAAAAATACAATTGTTTATTGTTAGTTCATGTTAATTTGGGACAATTAAATAATATTAACAGATACAGCTTTTAAGAAATGTATTAGCAAATGTTGGAATATATATAATCAAGATGTAAGCGGAGACATTTTTTTCCCTCAACAAGTATGAACCATGATTAGGTAATTTTAAATATCTACACTGCCAGTATATTGTGTTGGACAATGGGGGTGTTTGGGTCAAAAAGGGTGATAACCACTGCTTTAGACAAAGCAATGTCATAGCAAACTCCCTGTTCTGTTTACAGTGTTGAGCAGACAAACAAAACAAAAATCCTGTTAGTCAGTCTCACCTTTGAAGCGGAGTCAGCAGCTTGCTCTTCAACATTTCTAAGTGTCTCTTCACTGCATTTATATTTTGCCTCAAAATCCTGTCCAAGGAACAAAGACATACTCAGTGAGCGATTTACACAAACTCGCATCTTTCACACTGTTAATGTTTCAGTGGAGTCCAAAAGTCTGAGAAGAGTAAAAATGCTTATTTTTGGCTTCTTTTAAATTTAATAAAATGTGTAAAACCTGCAAACAGCATCTTGTGCTTCAATGGAAGCAAGAACATCTGAATGTCTATAGAAAGAGTCACATGATAAATATCACAAATTTTATTTGATTACTGACCAAGTAATAGTCAAAAAATGTTATCTTCATTTAAATGTAGGGTAGGCCGTATCTGCACTACTAGTGTCATCCAGCAGAACTACAAATATAAAGCATGTTTTCAAACCTTTGCAAACACCCCTTGAAGTTTAGCTAACCTGTTGATATGCAACTCTGCAAGTGTGTCATATTGATTGAAACCCAAACATTCCATCAAATTCCTCCATCTTGCAAAAACACTGCCAATGTTTAACCCTGTTTTACCCCGTTGTCGGTCTCTGTGTATTTTGGAAAATGTTCGAATTTTACTTCTGTTATGTAAAGGAATCTTCTTATTTTTCCACACTGGCTAAACACCCTCTAGCTTAGCCTGCTACAGTAGCCACACCCCAAACTCTTGCTATTGGCTGCGCGCAGGTAGGCAAAAACATAAGGCAGGTAGGATAGCCTATCATTGAATTCGGATCAATTCAGATTTTCAATGTAGTCTCAGATTTTGGAAGCCCACTGTATCCATGGAATGAGTATGCATAAAAAGCGAGATCCAACCTCAGTGAGCTTATCTATAACGACCTGTAGAAGAGCAGCTCTCTGCTGTGACTGCTGCTTCTCTGTGTGAAGATCAGTCACATTTTGTTCTAGCTCCTCAAGTTCAGTCTGTTTCTGAGCCAGAGACAACTGTAGCTGAAACACACACACACATACACTGTGTTAACATTTTTTTAACAAGTGCAATATAATTACTAAATGCACAAATGCATACATACCACCTCAATTCTATCCTCCAGTTCTTTGCATTTGTGTGACTGTGTCGTCTTGACTTTCTCTATAGTCTGCTGATATCCCCTCTGTTTCTTGTTCAAAACTGACTGGTAGTGCTGAATACTGCTAGCCTTTTCCTAATTTAACACAGATACACAGAACAGTATAGATTTGCAGTTTTATCTTGAAATCATTATTTGCTTTTGTGTGTGTATGTGTATATATATTAGGAGTTGCACCGACTAGTCGACTTCAATACTCTGCCATGATGCTTTAAGCTTGACGTCGACTAGTCGCTGGTCCTATAGAGGGCGCAACAAGATAAGAAATCTTTGAAGGACTTCCACATTTACGCTCTGTTTCCAAACAGTTAAAATGACAAATAAATGCATACTCTGAAAGCGCGCCACAAGACATGTGTGATTACATTACTGGATGCTCGAAACTGAACAAGAGAATGCACGTTTTGAACAGCTTATTGTACAGGTAGGTAAGTTAATCGCCATTCTAATCTAATGTGCTGCTGCACTGTAACGCACACACATAGGCTACAGACAGTAGCTCGTACATCACGCACACATCATCTCGCACAGAATCATTCAGCGCGGAAATGTATTGTCAACACTGTTCTGTGATGTCTCAATAAAATAGCTTAGAAACTGAAAAGTTCAAGCATATATTTCTTAATAACTAAATCCCACAGCTTCACTACTAGTAGAGAGACGCTGCCAAGTAGAATTAATTCACACACGCAATCGCTCTCACTAATGCATTCATATGAATGTAATCTTTACTGTGCTACTTTATCTGCATCTGATTTAGAACGAGCAGAAATCTGTGAACTGTGAAATATAACGACCCAAAGACAAATTAACTGATAAAAATGAGCTGTTATAGGAGCAATAGCCATGTGGGCAGCGCTGTGTCATATGCCATAGCTGTGCACAAGGTGTTTGTCACGGCTCCAGACTTATTTGTTCATTAATGACATCATCAGCGACTAGTCGACTTCGACTCGACTTTCATCACATAATTGCTCCCACAGTTGATTTCTTCACACCAAGCTGCTTACCTATTGCAGATTCAGTCTTCCCGGCCTGGTGCAGGTCTACAATTTTGTTTCTGGTGTCTTTTGACAGCTCTTTGGTCTTGGCCATGGTGGAGTTTGGAGTGTGGCTGTTTGAGGTTGTGGACAGGTGTCTTTTATACTGATAACAAGTTCAAACAGATGCCATTAATACAGGTAACGAGTGGAGGACAGAGGAGCCTCTTAAAGAAGAAGTTACAGGTCTGTGAGAGCCAGAAATCTTGCTTGTTTGTAGGTGACCAAATACTTATTTTACAGAGGAATTTACCAATTAATTCTTTAAAAATCCTACAATGTGATTTTCTGGATTTTTTTTTCTCATTTTGTCTCTCATAGTTGAGGTATACCTATGATGAAAATTACAGGCCTCTCTCATCTTTTTAAGTGGGAGAACTTGCACAATTGGTGGCTGACTAAATACTTTTTTGCCCCACTGTATGTGTGTGTGTGTGTATATGTGTATATATGTTACCAGAAGGTCTTGTTCAAGCTGGCTGGTCTTCATTACAGCCTGTGAATAAGAAGCAATCTTCTCCTGCAGCTGTTTCTCCAAGACAGTCACATGCAAACTCTTCTTTTTTAGCTAATGAACAGAATTTTTGTTCAGTTAGATTGAGTTAATACACTTCTAGAAAATTCAAAACAATAGGTAATTGGAGGGAAATACTCGAAAGGTAAACTAATGATAACATTTTCGGGTTGATAAGATTTTTTAAATGTCTCTTCTGGTCACGAAGGCTGCATTTATTTGATCAAAGTTACAGCAAAAGCAGTAATACTGTGAACTATTATTACGATAAATAAAAAATTAAAAAATAATGTTTTTCTAATATGCTTTTCAATGTATCCCTGTTTTTATTGGATAGCTCTAATTCTCAATTCATATGGAATGGTAAGACTTCAGGGATCCAAAAAAGAATCCTGCAAAAACCAAAGAATATGGGTGGTTTGGCCCTCACTAATTGTATTACTGGGCTGTGAATATACGCTCCACACTACTGTGGATTCATTCTAAAAAACTGGACAATTATCCCTGTGTTCCCCCAAGGATTTTAATCATTTGTTCTACTCCTCTATTCTGGATGGTGCATATGCCTATTGGAGGGATCAGGGCCTCCATTCTGACATTTTCACTAAAGGCTCAATTTTATCTGTTGACACTTTGCACACCGGCTGGTCTTCAGACCATAATATTGAAAAAGACCAAGGAATATGGGAGGCAGTTTTGGACAAGGATCAACTCCTCATCTATTTGTGCATGTCACAGTCTTATACCATGTAAGGTAGTTCATAAGAGTTCATTGGTTCTAGGGCTGCACGATAAATCGCATGCAATATTTAATGCGCATATTGTCAGTAAAGCCGGTTCTGTAATCAGCGGTAAATCTCCATCACATGCGTGCTTTCACATGGAGCAGCATTTACTACACAGAGCCGTTGTTCACTGACAAGCTGCACAAAACCACGTACATGTATGATCATCATCACTCTCATGGATGCCATTTGGTCAGAAACATGCACACCAGTAGCCTGCTGGAGGCAATTTTGGAGGGCTCTGCAGTGCTCCTCCTGTTAATCCTTGCACAAAGGAGCAGATACATCCTTGCTGCTGGGATGTTGCCCTTCTATGACCCTGTCCAGTTCTCCTCATGTAACGGCCCGTCTCCCTGTATCTCTTCCATGCTCTTGAAACTGTTCTGGGAGACACACCAAACCTCCTTGCGACATTACGCATGGTTGTGCCATCCTGAAGGAGTTGGTCTACCTGTGCAACCTGATTGGGTTGCAGGTACTGCCTCATGCTACAAGGAGTGACAAGACCCTAACAAATCACAAAACTAGAGACAAATTAGTCTCTAAATCCCTTTTAAGGGGTTGTCCTGCTGTTGCCTCTCTAACACACATGTTGTCACTTTCATTTGCACCAAAGCAGGAGAAACTGATTCACACTCACTTATGCTTCCTAACTGGACAGGTCGATATCCCTGAAGCTCACTGATGCCCTGATCCAGGTCTGGCAGGAGACCCCCCCAGGACACCATCCGTCATCTCATCAGGAACATGCCCAGACATAGGGAGTGCATACAGACATGTCGGGGCAATGCACACTACTGACTTACATTATTAGTTGCTGTGATGAAATTTAAAAAATTTCAATCAGCCTGTAATTTAAATTTTTTACTTTGATTTTCTGTGTGATTTTGAATCCAGTTCTCAATTGGTTAATATGGCTTCCATTGACTATACAATGTATACAAGTACAGATTTTCAACTTGAATATTTTGTTCACCTAGATACAATGAGTGATTTAAGTGTAAACACACACACGCACATACAATATATACTGTATACAGTGGAGATCAAAATTAAAGAACAATCTATAAATACTTAAAAAATAAAGTAAAACATTTTCTGAAATATTTTTCATCTTCATCGCTGAAAATTTGAAGGAATATTAGCTGTGGGTATACCACTGTTATACTAACATGTTTGACAAAATAACTAATAAATTAGAGAACAGTAACCACTGTAGCACGAAAGAAGAATACAACAACAATTTTACAGCTGTAAAAAATTAATAGGAATTGTAGAGGCCCCTGCTTTGAATGACTTCAGCACATTTGCAGCGACAGGATATCACTAGTTTCTCACACTGCACTGGTGTGATCTTAGTCCACTCTTCTTCCAGTCTCTTCCATAGCTCGGTAACTGTAGTGGGTTTCTTAGCCATAACTTTGTTGCCAAGGATATTCCAGAGATTTTCAGTTGGGTTTAGATCGGGACTCTGGGCCGGCCATTTCATTATTTCAATGTTCTTAGTTTCAAGGAGCTGCTTTATCCATTTTGCAGTATGACGGGGGCATTGTCTTGCATGAAAATTGCAGGCTGATTGGGAGATGCTTGCAGGGAAGGTACTGCATGTTGCTGAAGGAGGTTCTGATAAACATTTGCATTCACCCTGCCATGTAGCTGTATAAGAGGCCCAACTCCTACTGCACAAAATATCCCCCAATGCATGACACTTCGATTTAGATTTGGAATGACCAGCTACTCTTGCAATGGCTGAAAGGGTCATCCCTTTGGAATTCATCTGGACTGCCTCCTGTTGCAGGGTTTCAGTCACCTCAGAGCGGCCCGCCATCTTGCAATCTCAGTGAAAATTAGAGGAATGCTGCCAGTTAGTGCACTAAGTGAATTTTGCCAAATGATGTTTATATTTGAAAGCACCAAAACAAACACACCCATACCCCAACAGGACCTCGCCCCTGTTTTGATATCTAGTCTCTGCCCCCACACGTACATACACAACCCTGGCAGCGACGATGGTGGAATCTGCTATGCCTGCCGGCCAATCATATTCAAGCAAAAGCCAACACAGATTAGTTGTGTGAAACAAAGCAAAATCAACGTAATTCACCTATCAAAAAGAAACAAAGCAACCTCTGCATCCAATTCCAGGCCTTCCCGCTCCTTGAGTTCTCTCCACCACTGGAAAGCTGCTCCAATATTTATTGGGGTCCTACTTCTTGCCTGATCTTAACCCTTCTTTTTAATGTTTTGTTCCTCTTAAATTTTCCTCTTTTTTTTATCTGTCATCTCTCACTATCTATAGTCCCTATCATTACTAGACACACCCCTTACTGCTGATTGGCAGCAAGAATGTTTTGGGACTCAGTCCGACACGTCAAATATATTTTTCAAATATTGCTTAGTGCACCTTTAAAAAGGTTTGTCATATAATTATCGAAATTAGCACCAGGTGCCAGATTAACACCAATAACTTGGAGGTATCTGTAAGTGTTCTCTAATTTTGATCAGAGTTCTTTTTCAAATATCTCATTTACGTTTTTTATACTGTGCTTCAGAATACAATTAATTTATGAAATATGCTTAAAAAACTGCCCTTGTACTCCTGTAAGGATAACTTTAAATAGGACTAAGCAGTGACCTTGAAACACATTTATATATTTATACACATGTATATAATAATAAGTACTATAATATTATTCTTACAATTTCAATCATTTTTTCAATAACAAAGTTTTCCTTTGAAATGTTTCTTTGTTTCTAAAATGTTTAAATAAATCATAAGATTTTCTTTACTATATAATATAATTTAAAATACTGTCACATTTAATCAATTTAAAGAAGGGCTGCCCAAACTTGGTCCTGGAGGGCCGGTGTCCTGCAGAGTTTTGCTCCAACCCCAATCAGACACACCTGAACCAACTAATTCAAGCTCTTACTAGACATACTAGAAACTTCGTGGCAGGTGTGTTGAGGCAAGTTGGATCTAAACTCTGCAGGACTCTGGCCCTCCAGGACTGAGTTTGGGCACCCCTGATTTAAAGCATCCTTACTTAATAAAAGTATTAATGTCGGCACAAAATTCCTGTAAGGATAACTTTAAATAGGACTAAGCAGTGACCTTGAAACACATTTATATATTTATACACATGTATATAATAATAAGTACTATAATATTATTCTTACAATTTCAATCATTTTTTCAATAAACAACTTTACTATATAATATAATTTAAAATACTGTCACATTTAATCAATTTAAAGAAGGGCTGCCCAAACTTGGTCCTGGAGGGCCGGTGTCCTGCAGAGTTTTGCTCCAACCCCAATCAGACACACCTGAACCAACTAATTCAAGCTCTTACTAGACATACTAGAAACTTCGTGGCAGGTGTGTTGAGGCAAGTTGGATCTAAACTCTGCAGGACTCTGGCCCTCCAGGACTGAGTTTGGGCACCCCTGATTTAAAGCATCCTTACTTAATAAAAGTATTAATGTCGGCACAAAATGAAAGTTGCGTTTCCATTTTAATTTCATTATGAATTAAAGCGTATTCTTCCCCAAAACTTTGAACTGTAGTACATGCCATTGCATATGTTTTATTAGTTAATCTTTAATGAGTATTTAACTGTTTAACAAGTTGTTCATTAACATATCACTTCCTGGTACAGAAATTTGACTTCTATAATACTATATACAGTCAAAATGTTATAAAAACAGATAACATTCTATCATTTTTTATTATAAATTAATTACATGACTTAACTGTTTTATCAAGTATGAATATGGAGATAGAATTGTTGCATAAATCCAAATAAATAGATGAAATAAAGAAATAAATGTAAAGAAATTAACAAAAGATTAAACATATTGGCAAATTAATAGAATGAGATTTGCAAATAAAAAACATATTCACAGATATCTTTTTATGTCACAAACATAACTTTGCCTGGCATTGATTTGTGAATTGCGCCCTTTGCATTTGTAGATCGCTGCATGAATTTGTGAATCGCTCCCCGTACATTTGTGAATGGCTTTCTGTGCATTTGTGGATTTGAAACATTTCTGGTGTCAAGACGCTGACAAATTCACAAATGCGTGGACTCCACCCACTGTCCACCCAAAAGACAATCATATAACAGCCACACTTCGCTGACCAATCGTAGCATGTTCTCGCTATGGGAACAACGCTATACTGTATACGAATGGGTTATGGAAGTCTCATGTTATTCAAGATGGAAAGAAAAGCGTCAATAAGTAGGCTAACTGACTAATAAATAACTGGATTCAACCTCATGATACATGTGAGTTTGTGTAATAAGTTAAAATGCCTAAAGTACTACAAAGTTATTGCCATTGATTGGGCAGGAAAAAATATACATGGGTTCTTTTTTAAATGTGGAGCAGGTGTGTTGAATATAAATGCATATAAATGTAAGACAAAAGATATTTATTGGATAAATCACTTGATCACGCAAACAATATTTCATATGAATCAGACTTACTAGTTTTGAATGTAAAAGTTACTTAACAGCATCCAAAGTAAATGCAGTTTTTATTTACATTGTCTACTCACAAATCCCCAGTACACGCTGCAGTAATTCTGAGGCTGGTACCAAGATGGTCATTTTGGTATTATACCATATTTGATATTATATGTGTTATTATGCCCTATATTTGTCACCGCGATTGTGCTTTAAAAGGTTGTATAAGACATTGTCCCATATCTTAAGCCCTGTCTACCCCGTTCCCTGTCGCGCTACGATGCAACACCAGTAACTGCAACTATACGCATCAAAGCAAATGTGCAAACCATTTGTCCTTCATTGTCGCGCCTCGTCCAGTGTAGACAGTATTGCTGATTATAATGATTTCTATTTGCTTTGGACGCATCACAAGGGTGTTATTGATCATGCTTGGAATCTGTGAATGATCATAAGTTGTGTATAATCCTGAGTTTTTCCTCATTAACTGATCCTGATGAAAATATAAAGAAGCCTTACACTCCAACAGTTTTTTGGAAACAGTTTTTTTTTTTTAACCACACAAACAGCACTACAGACCAATCTGAACGTAGTATCCACAGAAAGCAGTTCCACAGGGGTGCAAAATAAATCTGATCCCACCCTAACTGTAAAGCAAAACGTGATTGGCTATAGCGAGAACGTGCTACGATTGGTTAGCGAAATGTGGCTGTTATCTGATTGGCTTGAGTAGACGGTGGGTGGAGTCCATGGGACATTTGTGGATTTAAAGCGTCTTGACGCTAGAAATGTTTCAAAATCCACAAATGCACAGAAAGTCATTCACAAATGTACGGGGACCAATCCACAAATGCACAGGACGCGATTCACAAATCAAAGTTGTGTTTGTGACATAAAAAGATATTTGTGAATATGTTTTCTTATTTGCAAATCTCATTTTATTTATTTGTGAATTTAATTCATGTTCATTTATTTTAATTGTAATTAATTTTTATTTTTGTTAATCTCTTTATATTTATTTGTGGATCATAATCTATTTACTTGGAATTATGTGTATCTCCATACAAGACTCATGTCACATGTGAAAAGTTTGTGATTCTATTTTCACTTATTCAAGTTTACATTTTTTACATGCAGCCAGCATAGACAATTCAATACAAATATTTTCATGGTACCCTACAAAACTACTGTGACACTGTTCTGGTACAGGAAATACTAATTTGATGGGTCACTGACCTCTTTCTCTAAGGAGGTGGCCTGTGTAGCCTTGTCCAGTAGCTGGTCGTGGAGCTGCTGGTAGTGAGAGGATCTCTCTGTGATGGAGGTCTGCAGGGAGGAGAAAATTTAATTACTTTTATTTAGGATGTGTGTGTGTGTATTCCAGCACCTCTCTCAGATGTAGTAAGTCCAGTATGCTCTCTAGGCTGGTCAGCTCAGCTCTGTCCTGTTCTTTCTCTCTGTGGGCATGAGCCACCCTCTGCTCCTGACATGCCGTGAGGAGCCGCAGGTCCTCATTCTCTTTCCTCAGCCCTGCCACCTCCTGCAGCTGAGCCTCCTTCTCAGCCATCTCCCTCTGCAGCTGTTTCAGCTGATCTGAGAGCTGATAAACCTGAGACTGCAGCTGCACATGCTCAGTGGAGAGAGACTCAGAGCGGCTATGAATCTCCTTCAGCTCACTGATCAGAGATCAGAAATGGCAGTAACTAGCATGAGCAGTTTAACTTTTCCAAGAACAATCTAGAACATGGGGTGTCAAACTCAATTCCTGGAGGGCCGGAGCCCTGCAGAGTTCAACCCTACAACCCTTCAACACATCTGATCCAACTAATCAAGTCCTTCAGGCTTATCTGAAAACTACATGGTATGTGTGTTGGAGCAGGGTTGGAACAAAACTCTGCAGGGCTCCGGCCCTCCAGGAATTGAGGTTGACACCCCTGGTCTAGAAGCTAATAATCTGGTCAAATGATCGGTTTAAACATAAATGCATTAAAACTGTGAGGAAAAATTGCCAATACAGCACAAAACAATAAAAAAAATTCCAAATATATTTTCAGAAACCAAATCTTAATATTTTATGCAATTTTGTTTATTTCTCAAATTATATATGTGTATCAGCTTTAATTTTTGGAATCAGCACCCCAAAGTTAGTACAAAACAAATATTGGATTTCATTCGGCAAATATAAAGCAGAGAGGTATTATTATTATTATGATGTTTGCAGGGTATTCACTTTCCCTTATAAATCTACTGTATAAATTGTGATTTTAAATACTCATTTAATTATAATTAAAATACTGAAGTAATGATCTAAAAAAGTCTGTGTCAGTGTTGTCAATTAACATAGGGTGCGTCTCTATCAGCTCCCTAGCTCGTGAATCAGTATATCGTGTACATGAATTTGGTCTCTGGTAAGTTCCCTGGATCACTGCACATTGGGACAGTGATTACTCAATTTCCGGTGACATGACTACGTACAACGTCAACGGACAACATTGTAGAACATATTGCTGGAATTAATCAACAACAGGCAGGACCAAACTCTTTTTGATATAATTTTTTATTCTCTTTAAACACATTGTTCTTACAACATTTCAGCCGAATATTAATTATAAATGTTAACTAGATGTGATCATTACCTGTCTAGCGATGTGTGTTTATGTTGAAATATACTAAGAAAACGGTTTGTCTTTTCAAATCTTCTATCGCGTATCATTATATTTATCGAGTTGGCTCATGTGGTTTGTGTTTCGTGCTTCATAAATGTGTTGTAATATCCAGTAAGGGAGCAAAGTGAGCACAGATGCTCCCTGGTTTTTGCGGTGCATTGTGGGATTTTTCACGGAACAAACTTTCCAGTATACTGGAAGGATTTCACGATTGAGACAGCCCTTAAAATGGCCAACTCCCTGATCAGTGCCCAGACTAGGGAGCTGATTGAGACGCACCCATATAATATACATTAGCATTCAAAAGTTTAGGGTCAGTAAGATTTTTAAGAAATTAATACTTTTGTTCAGCAAGGAGACATTACATTGTTAAAAAGTGACAGCAAAGACATTTCTATTGTTACAAAAGATTTCTATTTCAGATAGGGCTGGGCAATAGGGCAATATTTATAATATATATTTTTTAACATCCTGCCTAATTTTGTCCAATAAAACAATGTTTATATTAAAGGCAAAGAAAACAAATATAGTGAAAGTAGGCTATGCTATTCATTATGTGCAAAAAAGGGGCAAAAATCACATTACATTCTAACATTGTAACATTACAATCTAAAAACTAAAATAATTATTTTTAAGGCAGCAGTTCAATTCACTAAACTAAAAATGAAAGTAAATAAACAAGAGCACAGATTAATTGCATTTTATTTTTGATTACCCCATTACTGCTATCTGCTATCATAAAATACACTTACTTGTAGGTTTAAAATTCTACATATTATACAATTATTGCACTGCTATTCTATTGCGCTCTGTCTGTTTGGCGCACATGCACGCGGCAGCTCTCGTTCACAGAAGTCTGTGAAGTTTAGCGGAGAATTGAATGCAAAAGGCTCCTGACAGCAAAATCAAAATATTTCCATGACTTTCTAACATTTACAGATGGAGAATATACCTGTGAAATGCAAGGTATGCACTGAGGAAAATCTCAAACACATTAAACAGAGCATGTAGCCTCTCTGTCGCAGCACATATGTCTATCAGAGCATCTGACTGGGCGAGCCGCTTTAAACTATACATCTTAACTATATCTTACCAGTTATTTTAAAGCCCTTAATATAAAGCATGTCTCATGTTTAGGACAAATTGGACTATGCATTATTCAGATGTGCTCGTATCAAACTACTGTATATCGATATAGGCGGTATTGCCTCATACCATATCGCCTATTAAAAATATATCGATATATCGTACAAACTCGACATACCGCCCAGCCCTAATTTCAGAAACATTTTGTTCCTTTGAACTTTCTATTCATCATATAATTTAAAAAAATTCAGTTTTGTAGTCAAAGGAATAAGTTACAATATAAAATATTAAAATAGAAAACTATTCAAAAATATTTTACAATTTACAGTATTTTTGTTCATATAAATGTATCTTTGATGAGCATAAGCATTTTTTTTTTAATCTTTAAAAATCTTTAAAAAAAAATATATATATATATATATACATATTGACAATATATTAATCATCATTGATGAATGTTCTTCATATCTCCACAACCCAAATCAGTATATAGTTTATATCAGTATATCACATGGTCTTACCAGATGTTGTGACGTAGACCATCCTTCTCTCTCTCCAGCACAGCACACTTCCTCTCTAGCTCCTCTCTCTCCCTGTCACACTCCATCAGGCTAACTTTCAGCTGGCCCTCACTCTCCAACACCTCCAACAAATGCAGGACATGCATGATACATACAGCAGGAAAATAAGTAATTACAGTATGATTCCTATGTCAGTTTATGATTCCTATGCTAAATTACCTTCCTGAGTTTTTCATAAACATCCTCTTTGTATTCTTTAAAGGTAACCGTGAGCTTCTCTGCATTTCGAAGTGCTTGGTTTCTCTGCTGCTCAGCACTTAGAAAGAAACATTTTCTCAGAATTTAAGCTGTGGTCTTTCAGGAATTACAAAAAGACTTCTTGTAAATTTGAGAAAATTCCAGCTTTAAGGGATTATTGCTCCCAGGATGGATTAGTCTAAAGTTTTCCATAGCATAACTAATCTCGTACCGTTTTCCCGGACGTGTTCTTTCAGCTAACTCGGCTTTAACAACTCTCAGCTCATCTCTGAGCTTCTCCACCAGCCTGTTACTCTGCATCACTGTCTGTTCACTTTCTTCCAACTTCTGCTCTGCAGTCCTGAAGAAACAAGAACATGCTGCTCCAGATATCTGTCAGAAAAGAATCAGATTTTTTGATGAGGATGAAATGGTAGAAACGATGTACCTACTCTAAAGCTTTGGTTTGGGTTTCCAGTTCTGCCTCAAGACCCAGAATCTGCTCCTCCATGTGAGACACACTGGAGGTCCTGGCTCCCAAAGTGGATCCCAACAGACAGATCTATACAAACAAACATCAGTTAACAACATAACCAGAGAGGAGTTTGTTGTGTCACCAGTGGCTTGAGTTATGACATCAATAATAATAATAATAACAATTTATAGTGCCTTTCCAACACCCAAGGTCGCTTTATAGAGACAAATAAGGAACAGAGCCAAATAAACACAATACACATAGCAAAAGCTGAAAGTAATACACAGAGGTCGCTTACAAAGTTATGTTAGAGATACAAAGAGGGATTCAAATAAATAACATATTCATAACAAGGTACAATTTACAGACAGAGAACTGAAGAGTAATATTCAGAGAAAAAAATCATGTTTTTAAGAGGTTTTTGAAGGATAGAAGGGAGGATGCTTGACAGACGTCTTGAGGAAGAGCATCCCACAACCAGGGAGCCACAACACTAATAGACCTGGCTCCCATAGTCACCAGACTAAACTTAGGGGTGACAAACAATCCTGCACTAGAAGATCGTAAGGAGCGAACAGGAGCATAAGGCTGAAGTCAGTGAGATAAATATGTAGGACCAAGGTTATGGAGAGCTTTGCAAGTGAGAATTAGTTTATGTGCAAGGAAACCGGAAGCCAATGAAGGTGATAGAGAATTGGAGTAATGTGCATGTTCTTTCTTGTGTGAGTGATCAAGCGGGCTGCAGAGTTTCGAACATAATGTAATCATTTGATATTTTTAGCTGAAAGGCCATAAAGAAGTGAGTTACAGTAATCTAGCTGAGATGAGACGAAGGCATGTATAACAGTTTCAGCATCCTGCTGTCTGAGAGAAGATTGAATATTAGAGATATTACGTAGGTGGAATAAACCTGTCTTTACCACTTTTCCAATAAGACTATTAAATGAAAGTGAAATCAATGAGAACAAGATTTTGAACTGTCATGGAGGGCATTATCAGCTCACCATTCAAATCTATCATTTGACCAGATAGTTTAGATACAACAGCTTTAGAGCCAATCAGTATTACCTTAGTTTGACCGGAGTTAAATTTAATGTAATTTGCCTCCAGTCAAAGCTTGAGTTCCTCGATGTGCTAAAATAAATCTGAATGTCATCAGCATAACAGTGGAAGTTAACCCCATACCATTTGATTATTTGTCCAATTGGTAACATAAATAGTGAAAAGAAGAGGGCCCAAGACAGAACCTTGAAGTACACCAGAACTGATGGATTTGGTGGATGATTTGTGCTTCTAGTATTATAACAAATTGTTCCCTGCCTGTCAGATAGGAGGAAAACCAGTCAAAGGCTGTGCCAGAAATTCCAATTGCTGAAAGCCGTGACAGGAGTATCACAAGACAAACAGTGTCAAAAGCTGAGCTGAGGTCTAGCAGAAGGAGAGTGCTAAGAGCACCAGAATCTAGAAGAGCTCCAGAAGCTAGAAGGAGATCATTAAGAACCTTAACCAGGGCTGTTTCAGTACTGTGTAATGGACAAAAGCCAGAGTGAAAGGGCCCATAAAGGTTGTGCTCTGTTAAATAGGCCTGTAACTGGGAGGCAACAACATTTTCTACTATCTTAGAGAGAAAAGAGAGGTTTGAAATAGATCTGTAGCTACTTGGGGATGAAGGATGAAGACCATGCTTTTTAAGAACCAGGGTAACAACAGCAATCTTAAGCTTAGATGGTACAGTTCCAGATTACATTGACGTATTAATGAAATGAGTGATGGGTAGTGAGAAAGCTGTCAAGCAATTCTTCAGTAAAGAGGTAGGTGCAGTGTCAAGAAGACTAGTAGAGGAATTATACAGCCTGATTATCTCATCAACCACTGTGGGGACAAGAGAGTCAAAACTAGAGAGGCTGTGAGTAAGGCATAAAGAGAGAGGTTCAGTAGTGGAAACAGAGGTATGGTGTTGATAGGTATGAGGTGTTTTATTCAGAAAAAAGTTCAGGAAAGCATCACACATTTGATCAAGACTGTACGGGTGTCACGTTCGCTACTGTGAGGGAGTGCAGAGCGAGGAACGAGGAGACCAGGAGTACATCAACAAAGAGACTTTAATTACATTCAGGGAACCAGGAAAACACATGTAGCAGAGGAGGTAAACATATACAATACCAGACAGCGAACTCAAAACAGGAAACACTAAAAATACACATGACTAGATGATGGGATGACGAGAAACACCTGGAACTAATGAAACTTAATAGGAAAAGGAAACAGGAAGAACTAAATATGGGCATAAGGAAACATGAGGGAGAACTTGAGGGAGGAAAACACAACACAACGGGAACACAAGCCTGACATGATTGGACTGCCTGATCCGCCCTGGAGGTATTCCCCGTGTCCCATTCCTGCACCAGCCTCCCCCCTCCCGGAAGGCGCGTCCCGCGCCGTAACAATTTCACCAGGGAGGGGGGAGGCTCCCTGGTGAAATTGTTACGGTAATTTTTTAGGTAAATAAAAAATTACCATTCTGAAAAATCCTGTTGTAAGCGCGTTTGAGGAGGTGGTTGGTTGTCTCCTGTCCTCGCCGATTCGGGGTCTGAGTTCGGCTCAAACATGTAAGGCCGGACAACATTTCCCTCAGCAGTGACCATCATTACC